TTTAAAAAAAAAAAAAAAAAAAAAAAAAAAAAAGAAGGATGGCTTACGGTCAATAATGGTCATAATCAGCACTTCTTCACATTAGGGCTTGGCGTACGGTCAAGCATGAATTGCAGTCATGCCGCACTTGTTGACTGTAGGGCTTGTATCCATGCTCTGCACTGCCAAAGAGTTGCGCTACACACTAAGTAAAACATAATAGGAGAAGAACTGTGAAGAAGGATGCCTCCTAAGAAAACAAAAACTACCGTCTTCTGCCGAACAAAACGTACAGCTTTTGTATATGCATTCGGGCCAAATTTTGTGCGAGATTCAGGGATAATGACCATACATTCTATTTGGGGGAATAAGGTGGATGACGACAGCATTCCAAATGGTATTGATACTTCGAGTTTCCACCATAAGCGATGGACTCTGTCCGTCTGACCGTACGTGAGTCGCTGCAGCGTTACTCCAGCCAGGGGCAGCGCCGCAGCAACGCAGACAAGGGCAGACAGAGTCCATCGCCCATCACCTCTGCATCATTGTGCTACCTGATGCATCTTTGAGCGCAACGTAGAGACAGCAGAAAATCGTATCTGGCACACAGCTGGCAGCTTCCACTGCTGACATTCTTGCACAATGTGTGTCAGGAAAGAGTCTGTGCCAACACAGAGAGAGGCCATTAAAGAGTGGACAGGCGCTATGTTCCAGAGTTGGCGAATACATCCATTCGCTACCTACCGCAAAAACATTCCATTGACAGAAAAACAAATTGGAGCCGATCTTCGGGATAGTCCCCTGAAGCAAGCAAGCAAGCAAGCACCAGGATGTAATTTGATTGTGGTGTAGACATCCAATACGACATTTAGCCATGGGAGTGGAAAAGAAGGGTGCAGAACTCTCGCAGTGGACTGGTGTGTAAAAGAGATGGCGTGGGCTTGCAGTGTCAAAAAAGACTTGAAACATCCGTTAAAATTGGAGCAATATAGAGAAGATTAGCATGGCCCCTGCGCAAGGATGACACACACAAATCGAGAAATGGTCCAAATGAAAAAAAAGGAAAAAAAAAAGATGGTGGTCCTACACCACTGCAAGGCACTGACACAATTGCCCACTGTCAGCTCCCAACGAGTCGAGAGCCGTCCTAGGGTCATTCCTCAAGAATCGGAAAGATCAAGATGCATCTGGAATCTGAAAGTCATTCCTAGAACTGATCGACCAACGGAGAGAGAGAGAGAGAGAGAGAGAGAGAGAGAGAGAGAGAGAGAGAGAGAGAGAGAGAGAGAGAGAGAGAGAGAGAGTGTGTCGGCATCAAAGATTTGATTTGATTGGCTGGAAGTTGTCGACGTTTTTCACGCAGTGCACAAGGTTATGTTTCGCTTGCTCTGCTCCCTCAAATGAGCCGTCAGTGCAGAGCCGAAAACTGTGGGACTTGATGTGTCCTCAGTTCATGGCATTATCTTCAATTTCGCTCAGATATGCTTGAATGCAGATTGCAGCTAGAGTTAGTTCTTCCGACTTTACCCAAAATATGCATGGTCATTATAGCTGTGTGCCTAGGAAGATTTTCATGACCGGCCAGTCACCCGGGTGTGATGCCCAGGATACCCGGGCATGGGGAAAGACTGAATAAAAAAAAAATTGGCGGTGAGGTTTTTCCGCGCTCTCCGAGAGGAGCCCAAATCCCAGCTCTTTTCTTTTTTTGAGAGTTGGCTGTCCAGGGCGGGGAAGGGAAGTATAAATGAATTTTAAAGGGGCTAAAGGTTTTTCCGCGCTCTCCGAGAGGAGCCCAAATCCCAGCCACAAGTTGTTTGTATTGCAATTCTACACAACATACCTTTTTTTCATTTTTTTTTATTTTTTTATTTTTTTTCCGCGCTGGGGCTGCCCGGGCCATGCCCAGGGGTCATGCTCGGCCGGTCACCGGGTCGCCAAACCGGGCGTGACGTCGGGAACCGGGCGCCCGGGATATCTCCCTAGCTGTGTGCTGTATTTGGGGCAACTTTCAGTCTAGAACCAATGGGCGTAGCTCAGTTGGTACACCCATGAAATGTTGAAATACAGATCAAGTTTGAATCCAGATACAATCCGATGAGCAGAATAAGATCACTGTGAATTACCTGGGGACGGTCAGTTCAATGATGATATCTCAGGGCAGATGCCCTTAAAAAAAAAAAAAAGCTTTCAGTCTAGATGCCGCAATAACGACCATACAGTTCTGTCTTGTTCTATTCGGGTGAAGACGATAGATAGCCTTTAGGCAAAAGGAGTTTGGGGAAAGGGAAAAAAAAAAAAAACGTTTTCTACGGTGCTCAATGTTACTTACCATGGGGAAAGAAAAGAAATATACTTACCATCTAGGAAGATTCTCACGCCCGGCCGGGCACCCGGG